TTCCCGTATGAAACGGCCCAGGCGCTGTGTGCCCGCCGGGCGCAAGCCCTCGGTGCCTCTCGGTGCTGCTAGCCCAGCTGCAGGCAGCGGGAGAAACGTCAGCTCCTCGGGAGTCTCCACACCTCCCGAATTATTATCCTAGCCGGATACAGGTAAACGAAGGAAAAGAAAATTATTTCTGCCTTTCCGTGCCACTTTCCCAGTTTGATCGGTCCTTTCTCCCCAAAGTTGCACGATATTTGCACTGCAAATTAAGAAATAATTATCAAGACATTGAGCAGTTAAACACTGTTCTGTCCTTTAATGTCCCGGGACAAAGGTTTTAATTATTCATTGTCATTTTATGAATAAACTCTTAATGTACCATCATTAGCTAACAATTTTCAAAGGAAATACATTAATGAGGTCTAAGAAAATGTGGGAGTTTTTGCCTTAGTCGCCTGGTTCATAGATCAGAGTAATTAGATTCCAACAGACTCTAGGTATAATCTAAAAGTAATTACCACAGCTGCCAGCTGTTAAAATATTAAGTTAGTTGTGCTCCAGAAAAGTCTGAAAAAAAATTTTGACCTTTTCTGTGGTTAACTTAGGTTTAACCTAAGATGCGCTTTGAGAAAACAAAAAGAGCCATTAATACAAATAGGGAAAACAAACTTATAAATTGTAAACTGCTGCACTTGAGGAGATATTTGTAAAACATGTTTTTTAAAAGCAAATATCTCCTTACCTGAATTTATGGCAACATTAGGAAATAATTCAGTATTTTGAAAAAGAACCATCTTTCTTAATACAGCATCGAGCATTTATGTATTTCAGACACTTTGTCCTAATCCAGCGTGCCAACCAGTCAGGTAAAGGCTTTTGAAATTGGCCAGCAATTGCGCTTTGGAGGTTGAGGCGCGTATAAAAGTTCAGACAAAACACGGGATGGTGGATTCTTACAAGTAGAGCAGAGCCAGATATCTTGAAACAGAATAGATGCATCCTAGTAAGAAAACATGCAGGTATCAGAAACTAAGCAGAGAGAAAAGTGGCAAGAGAAGGCCGTACAGGTATGGGAGGATGTCTCTGGAGAAGGATGGGAGAGCACTGGAGGAGTCTGCTTGCTAGTTAGAGCTAGCAAAAGCTGACAACTACCAAAGCAGGGGTTTGCCCAGGAAGGCAGACTCACAAAGCAGAAGTGGTTTTCTTACTCAGCATTAGTCTGGGGTTTGCAGCCCTGTTCTCATGCCTTTTACTCACGTAATCTTTTTGCTGAGGACTGCTTGGCATTAAGCAGGGCCAGTTTCTGTTTGACAGAGGTGCTGTCAGAAGAAAGTACAAACACAACCGGCTGCAGCTCCAGAAAGCCAGGAAGTTAAACTTCTGTACACGCTTGCAAATAGCGAGCCTAAGGGGATGGAAACAAACGTTTGGGAGGGAAGGAGGGAAGGTTAGAAATGAAATGTAGTACACGATAAAGAATGAACTTGGGAGAATAAAAATCCACCAGGAAAGAGCCTGTCCATCCTCAAAGCTTGGACAATAGTGCTGACCCCTGCACCCCTCCCACAACTCTGCAGGGCTGATGGGGAACCAGCGCCTTCCCCTCCTGAGTCTACTCTACTCACACCCAAGGTCATCCAGGCTCATTTTAGGCAGGTCAGCTCCTTATTTCTGAGACCTGTGCCGTTTTCAGTGCCTTTCTCACAGGAGTGATCGCATTTCTGAGGAACGGTCAGAAGTGAGGTTCTTGTACTTGTCTACGTGTTTGCAACTGGGAGTACAGCCACTGCAAAATGGACCTGTGCTTTACCAAATACTGTCCTAAACTGTCACATAATAGACATATGTAAGGGCTGACCTCTTCAGCAATGTCCCTTTTTGTTCCATAAGGGGAATGGCACCCCTTCCCTTTCTCTAGGAAAGGTACCTCTGTCTTCACAGAGCTGCAAGCAGGTGTCAGCAGTCACTTCTTTAGCTTTCTTAGGTATCAAGACATATATCTTACAGGGCCTACACACAAGGAAGTCATTAGCAAAAATGCAAAACCCCATTTTTTCTTTCAAGCAGGAATTGGATTCTTGGGTTTCCCCTTCCCTGTGATGTCTAATCTGTGCAGAATTACTTGGGCTCTTTTTCTTTCCAGCCCGTGCTCTCTAATGCATAATAAAGTGCTTTTTGCTGGGGGGAAAAAGCACTCTCCTCTACACCTGCCAGGGAGGGAGGGAGAGCAAAGATGTTCTTGCCCAGGGCAGCCTTTAACCTGGCAGTTCAGAGGTTTTGCTGGGAAGCAGATGATGTAGATTTGGACCCTCCCAGATAGAAAACAAAACTGAACCTAGTATAAGTACTTCAACTGTTAGTGCACAACATTAAAAAAACTCTGCATTTCCCAAACCGAAACTGTTCAGTTACTTTTTCAGACCAGGGCATGTTGCCTGCCCTCCTCGGCAGGGTGTTGTGAGCTGTGGACCTCCAGTTCTCACTACCGAAGACAGTGAGATTCAGGATGATACACTCTTTTTTACAACATTTCCCTCACCCTAACCTCGGTGGCTCCAGGAGGCAGACGTTGCCTTTTTCAGATCTCATATTGAGCCTTCATATACAGAGTGCAAAGAGCTGGCACCTAAAAAAGGTCTGATACTTCCTTCAGTTTAATTTTCAAAGAAAAATCCCGGCTTGATACCACCTCTCCCACTGTCATTTCATTTTTGCAGTGATGCTGGACATCAGAGCACTTGCTGGGCTCTGTTCTATTTAAGTTTGAAGTGCTTACAGCCCATACCCACAGAGGCATTTGGGCTCCTAACACCCAATAGGATGTTTTTGATATGATTTAAGAATTTGAGTATGCTTGTAGATCTGAACCTAAACTAATTTTGGATCTAATCTTCTGTACTACAGATGAGACACAATGGGCCATGAGGCGTTTTAAGAACAATTTGCAGTGGCGTGGAATGCAGCATTGTCCCAGGCAGGGGCTGGTAAGGATCTCTAGGAGAGTTCAGGGGCTGCAGACCTGCCAGACTGCACTGGCTGGAAAGGGCTGCTCCAGCTGGGAAGCACAGACAGTCATTCAAAACGGGGTTTGGAGGACGAGGAATGGAGGCAGAATCACATAAAGATTCGTTACAAGGCATTAAAATATGACTCAATATTTTACTACTTAAAATAGGACTCAATTTATGTAATGTTTATCTAGAAAAAACATGATCATTTTTAAATGTTTTTCAACTGATTCATGCCTAACCAAACTCTCCAGGACAGAAAATGCAATGGAATAAAACCCTTTATGTCTCTCACTTCCTTCTATAAACCATTTGTAGCTGTGGAAAAGAGCTGCACAAACTATTTGTGCGCACGTTTGCAGGAAAGGACTGCGGCAGGTATGACAGGACAGATAACGATAGTATAAACCAGCCTTGCAGCCTGGAGAAAAGCTTAATTTTAGAAAGACAGTCTGTTTCTACCTCTCCTTTTGTGCAACGTTATGCCCCAAAATACTAGATGTGATCGCTGAACATAAGAAGAACGGGCAGCTAGAATAAGGCAGAAAAAGGAGAAGAGTCTTTTTGCTGGCAGTGTAGCTGCAGTACCTCATGGGGCAATCCCCTGAGCCCCGCTCAGACCCTTCCTCTGTGCCACGAGGACCAGGGGGATTATGGAGGAGCTGGTGTATTTACAAGAAAGAAAGCCTGAAACTTCTGAGGCCGCCCTAGGAAGAGCTAAGCAAGCCTTGCTGCTTTCTGA